GCCATCGCAGAAGTTGGAGGCCATTACTACTAGTAACAAGAAGCTACTAGTAACAAGGCACCTTACTACTAGTAGCCCGGGCCTCAAAGGATCGCAGGAATGCTGCTCTTCACTCCATTCAAGTTTCAAGCCACTCAAAAGGCTACGCCAGTCTCCAACTCAGACCTGCTCAGATTCTAGCTCCTTCTGGTGCTAGTTCCCCATACAGCCCTGGATTTCCATCACCGCGGTTGATTCGTCGCTCTTCTTTGGCCTTGGATTTATCCGATGTTCAATTCAGCACCGATGTTTGGCACGTCTGAAACTTGTTTTGGGGATGCCAAAGGTTGTGAAATGGTGACGTTCAAGACCATGACTTCCATAGCCTTATAAAGGTGCTCCCACACCATGTGGTTGATGATAATGCGTCTAACCTCACCATGTCCGACTCCACCATATCTGCAGAACATATTCACGTGGCTGCGCAACATAAACTACCAGCACACTGCAGTGTCACTGCAGTGCTTAGATTGTCCAATCACTATGGGACAAGGTCATTGGGCAACTCACGAACAAGTCATGACTGTTGTTTGGTGGCCGCAGCATCGAGCCTGGGATCTTGCCAGGCTGAACATTAATTGAGAAGTCTACATCAGCGGTTCTACCCAAACATAAACGTAGCACCAAGTGACAGAGATGGCATACCCTTCTCTCCCTCGCCAGTAGGTATTCAACACGCGGTCAACCTCTCGACGGAGGACGCCCTGTCCACAGCGCAGAGTCAAATCAAATTCTGCTGCTCCCGTTGGTGATATTGAACTCATTGATATCATTGATATCGATTTGTTTTGATTTGACACGCCCACAAAAAAATGGTTGAGATGAGAGTCCCTAAACCCCGACTTTGCAATAACTGAGAATTGCCAAACTACGAGGTCTCGCAGTACAGTTGATGCAAAACAATTGAATATGATTGGGCTGGATGTGTGACCGCATTTCAGCAAACTGCTGCAATGACGATGGACTTGCAGAACTTCGAAGCAAGAACAGGAACGTGTTGCGAGTAGAAAAGACTCAAACTTCATCAGCCGGAGTCTACGTCCGCTCCTCGAGCCATGAGATAGATAATTAAAAGAGCATCAAGAATCAGACTTTGCCTGCGCAGGCAGCTCTACTGCTGTACAGCCTGCGAAACGGTAAGCATGACATCCACTCATATAGCTAAAGAAATCTCAAGAGCTGCTACAAGATTTAAAACACTAAATCCTTCAGCGCGGAAAAAGCATATCAAAGTCCGATTCTTGTGCGGAAAGAATATGTAGACATAATTGAAGCTCTCCTTCTTCTGCAATCGAGATATTTTTTGGTCGTGACGTGCGACTTATGATTATTGTAGAGCGCGGACAAGACCCCACCGAAGGATAAAAGTTGCAAGAAAGTTGCAAGTACAAGCATAAGTTTCGACATGTTTTGACTCATTAACAAGTCCTGCCTGCACACAACAAGAGAAGAACTCGGGCCACAGCCCTCATAACTCTACGAGCTAGCAGCAGAAGACTGTTCAAAACCTCTGGGTGAATGCGATTTCATGGTATGTCCTGTGAGTTGCTTGAGGTGGGACTGGCACCTTTGTGAAAGAGTACAGGACTCTCAAGCATGGGAGCAAATCCTTGAAGTGTGACTTTGTAGGAATGACAAAAGCGACAAAACAGCATTCAACAAAACAATGGGATTTGAGATTCATGCCACTCGCCATTTCCACTCAAAGTAATACAATTCGCCAGCCGGCAGCCCCATCTGAAATGTCTGGGGGTGCTCCTGCTCCATTCAAAGGAACAGTACAAGGCATACAAGGCCCACCTGCTCTGATTTTTATCAAATGGTCTTGATTGCGCAGAGTTTGAATTCATGTGTAACCGAGGAGCAGATCGAACATCTACAACTCATGTGCAAATAAATAAGTGCTGCTGAGCAACAGGGCTTGTATGGTGGTCAAATTGCCCGTCAGAGCATGGAAAGCTGAAACATGTCAAATGCCTGTTGGTTGCTGCCCATCAGGACTTTGCAGACACAAGTGTGTACTATGACAACGTATCGAACAAATCAATCTGCCCCTTCGGCTTGCTGCATGTTTCACGCTTCTGAGACCAATCCTTGAACACCAAACACCAAACCCATACTTTCTCTTGCAAACAACATGGCTGCTCCATTGTTGAATACCCGTGGCTGGCATCAAGTTAGAGCAAAAATACTAATTACATGTCACAAGCAAATGCAGCGTACAGCTGATGATGGATTCCTAGTACTACTAGCATGGTGGGCATCAGAAACTGCTTGGACCTGGCTTTGTTTTGGCTCGGTTTGCCTACGCACTATCGGTCGGTATACGGCTTGGGCTTGGCCTGGCCGGTGGTTGATTTGGTTTGGGTTTCGCAGGAAAAGCTTGAGGGGAAGGAAGGAAGGAAGGAAGGAAGGGAGGGAGGGAGGGAGGGAAGGAAGGAAGGGAGGGAGGGAGGGAGGGAAGGAAGGAAGGAAGGAAGGACTCCAGCGTGATAAATGTTGATGGTTTACAAACCCGGCTCGTGATAAGAACTCCGTGCATGATGTGCGCTCTTATCAACATTGTTTCCAGAAAAATTGAACACGCATGGCCTGATGATCTGTTCTTCCTTCAGGGCAACACAGTTTCAGGCAGTCCAAGTCTGGCTAGGGGACGCATGTGATCTACAGGGCCTCTCCCCTGAGAAACACAGGCGCAGAAAGTCTGCTCGAGCTACCACCACTTGGCTTGGTAGTCTCAATTCTTGCAAACCAGAAAAGCTTTGAAAGCGAATTTTGCCTTTCCATACAGGATTGTTGAATAAGTATCAAATCAAACAACAATGAGGTCTCAGCTTCTCCACTTTGCACAGGCAGACACTTTACAGTTTTCACACGAAGGATGCCAGTTGGGAGCAGCTGAAGAACGCATGTCTCCAACTTCCGCCAACGGCTATGCATTTGGCTTGCAGCTACATCCTAGCTAGCTCAGGCTCAGAACAAAGATAGCTCCCCAGAAAAAACAGTGGCAGCTGTGTGCAGGATTTCTTGCTCTCTGAAACTTGGTCGAAAACCTACAGACTGGCGAACATACAAAGATCAGAATGTGAATGGAAAGATATTGTGACTGTAAGATAAAGAGCACAATGCAAAGAGCACAAATGCCATCCTACACTGCGAGTCTTTGAACTCGCTTGTCGCTGGTCACTATCAGCCCTCATAGCCAGAACATTGAAATCATGTAAATTTCAAGGTGTCTTGCCTTTAGGCTCCACCTCCTCGAGCATCACTATATACAGAGCTTAAGCATGGTCCAAGTGCAGGTAGCATCTGGATCCACATACAAACACCAACAACTTCCCACTCCGGTGTCAGGTGAGACATGGGATCATGAGCAAAACCAAGACATTGGCAATCACTGATATAGCATGTCCAGGTAATGATTGAAAGGTTAGAAGCAAACCTGTGCAATTGGCTGGCACGGCTCATCTGTGTCCGGAGGTCTCAATACCTGTGGCATCCTCTGGCTATCTCTCACTGTTTCGTGATCAATGTGCACCTTTGAAACGGAGAGCGCAATTGAAGGGAGCAACCCTTGTGTTTCACAAAACTATTTTTAACCATCTGCATCAAACCCATGAACATCACCGCTGTTACACCCATTCTGGTTGTGAAAACGTTGTCATGATCACGACTGGAATCATCAATGATCGCCCACGCATCTTGAGCCAAAGCAGAACAAAAGTACACTGACTGTGAACAAAAAATCATAGAAACCACATATCACACGATTTAAAGAAACAACAAGCCTTGAACGCTTACCGCGACAGAAGAACAAATCAACAAAAAAGGCACACGTTCCAAGACAAGATTAACCTCCCGCGTTCCCAAACGAGATTCGTGCTGCGTTCCAAAACGAGGCAGTTCCCTTTAACATGTTTAACCCTTGGAAGTAAAGAGATCTTGTCAAACACCTAGGCCAAGTTCAACGCAGCTCTCATAATCTTCCTTCATAGACACCGTCACTAGCAGCTCTCTTTGATCAAACAGCCGCCTTCGTTTCCACGGGAAAACACCAACATCTGGCAGCTGCACCCTGCAGCGGCACCAGCACCCAGGCTCCAAAGCGCACACATGCACTGACAGAAGAAAGAACGCACCACGATGCATTTACTCCAAGCTCATTTGCACTTGAGGATAGAATGATCTGCTGTAAGAATGCAACACCCAAGCACCTCAGTCGCTGGTGGACCGAGTAATCTTCACCGTCGGTGTAGGTGGAAATGCAATCTCCTGGCGCTCGCAAAACATGTGAGAAGAAGCATGTTCTGTTCCGCCCTAGGCTCAACCGAACTCTGTGAACACCATTGCATTTGTTGTATAAATATATAAATATGTTTGACCCTGCCTGCTGAGTCCTGATCGATGCAGAGTTTAGACATGAGAAGAATACATCTCACGCAAAGACACCTGCCTTGTCCTCCTTGGAGTGCTCAAAGTGGCCTGCACGGCATTGTCGACCCAAGCCTTTGTGGACTGGCAACACTGGTGATTTTTACCTACTACATTGTGATAGATAGACCCAAACACAAACACAAACACATGTACAAATAGGTTTTAACAAGAAAGCATGTTATATATATATATAAATATATATATATATATAAGAATTCTCGAATCCACCAGGATTTCGGATTGGTAACCGCGACCGTCCGGTGATGGGCTCACAGAAATAAGATGCAGTTTCCCTGAAACTAGTGAATTCCAATGAATACCTGAAGGTCCGACCTTCTCCAACACCAAAGTGCCCTGCACCCTTCCTCCGCAGCCTTTTCCTCCTCGACGCCCTGCGTCACGAGACCGTCCCTGGTCAACGATGGCTCGAACTGTAAACCACCCTCCCTCCCTGGGGGTGAACAAGCACATGGCCGCAGGACAACAGGCTCGAAACATGTGACATGCAGACCTCTGGTCGATTGACATTCGTAAGTTTTCTAAAAGATTTGTTCAGCACGTTTCGCCTTTAGCGTCGAACAGTGTGATCATGTCGATCTATTTGATATTTCTTTGTCAAGTGGTTGTGACTTTCGGCTCACCCTATACTCAAAAGAGTCAAAAGAGTATCCCACATAGGACTTGTTACCCTCACTAACAAGATCTGCACCCTTGAAAGCTCGAACATTTGTCGATTTGACAACCGCCAAAAGGAATCAAAAGCCTGCGTTCAAATTATCTGGAGGGAGGTCGGAATCGACTGCCTGGATGGGGACATCTTGGCTTTTCCCACATCCATCAGCTGGTGGATCTGCTCCGTGGCTACGAAACCATTGGAGCCTTGCTTTCCGATCGGATCTGTTCTTGAGTATCTCTTCCTCGTTCTTTAGTTTATATATCGTCCAATGCTTAGAACCTCTCGCACGGTTGTTGTATCCATTACCTTCGTCAAACAATCAGCGCTCTGAGCGCTTGATGGTACCCATCTTACTACAACACCTGTGGCCAGGTGTTCTTTGATCAACCGTGCCTGCAAGAGGGTCCTGAACTCTTGGCATGCTGGTGGAGCAGTGCGACTTATGAGATCAAACAAGCTTTTACAATCTGTTGCTATCAGTGAATCTGCTTTACCAATTTCCTGAAGCTTAAGGAGATTTTCACTGAGAGATTGATTCGGATCTTCAAGCTCCGGCTCATCTTTGAAGGCTGAGAAAGCAGGTGGCAACTTTGAAAGAGTTTTATCTCCAAGCATCCAATTGCATGTACTGTCGAGTAACCACATGATCATGAGTCCTTGATGTGATGCATGATTAAAGAGTTTTCCCTTGAATGGGTGCCTCAAAATGAATGGGTGCCTGGAAAGCTCAGCTACCAGATGCTGTCGTCAATCACACCTTGAAGATGGCCCGCGCGCTGTGACTATAGTGAAGCCACGCTTAATCATGAGGTGATGATGGCTATACTCTAGTGGAGATGAAATCGTCAATCACACCTTGAAGATGGCCCAAGCGCTGTCACTACAGTGAAGCCACTTGCAATGACGTGATGATGGCTATGTACTGTGACATGAAAAGTCAACCTTCCTTGGTGTACTGCAGATCCTGTCACAGCTACTTTGGAAGCTGAGGCGACACAGTTGGAAGGTTTCCGCGGTCTGGGTTCCATCTAGTAACTAGTATGCATGCATGCGGGCGCGCAAATCGGGTTAAAAACATGTGACAACATCATAAGTAGTTTTGAATTTTTTAGTTCAAATCGTTCACATCCTTCGGTTCTGAATTTCACTATAGTCACCGCATGTGGGCCATCCTCAAGGTGTGATTTAGGATTCATCATGTCATGTACCCATGGAGAGCTAGTACTAGCTCTCGCGTGGCTATGGCAGCACAGGCATTGAGGCACCCATTCATTTTGAGGCACCCATTCAAGGGAAAACTCCTTGATTTTTCTCTGATGCAAACGATGCGTCTGAGAATGCCACAAATCTAATGTCTTCCTTCGGGATGTATTGACTTTGGCATCATGCAGTAGCTTGTTGCCATCAACTAAGTCTTGTATTTGTCCGTTATTGATCCGGCTTTGCAACATGCTCAACCGACTTCCCAAGTCGGGACGGGTGTTGACGGCTGCATATTGGAGACTGCCGATGAGCCCTCGAAATGCTTGCCTTTCTGATTCGATGATTGGTTCTTCTGGATGTTTCCTCCGTTCTTTATCGATGTTGACCGGGTTGATGTCCTTTACATACTGAGTTTGATCAACATGCATCGAGAAGTCATCTTGCTGACTTATTTGGAGGCGTGTGAACACAAAGTTTCTTCGTTTTGCGGCTGCCGAATGGAAAAATCTTTTCAAGCTCTCAGAACTGACGTTGAAGAAGGGTGTTTACTCAGAACTG